CCGGGGGAGAGTCGTGCGGCCGCGGGGCTGAACCGTCCCCCGGTTCGCGGCTGAGCCGGCTCCTCCCGTGCGGTGGGAACCTTCCTGACCTCGGACGGGGGTTTGGCCCAGCCAGACCCCCACGGCTGGAGTTGATCTCTGGCGCTGATCACGGTCTCCTGGGAAGAGGTGTGGGGCGGGCCGGGCAGGGCGAGGCGAGAAGACCGCTCCAAGGGTCAGGGCCGAGGGCAGGGATAGGCCAGCCGCGGTGTGCAAGTCAGCTTGAGGCTGGATCAGCCCTTCCCGGTCTTTTGGGTCTGCAGTGGCCTTTGGGGTCAGAGAGCTCTGGGAAGCCTTCTCAGGCCCGCCAGTTAACAGCTCCGTCTTGATTTCTTTTCATTAATCCATGTCTGCGGTACACGGTGATTACATGCATTATGGGGTGTGGGTACATGCAAGGGACGCGTCTTAATTTTCTTATTTCCCCTTCTCCTCCCAAGACTTGATTTTCCTGAAGTTCCTTTGTAAAATGGGCACAGTTCTGCTGATGGGGACGTCGTGCACCTGACAGAGACAGTGAACTTCAAGCACCTAGCAGAACGTGGGCTCCTAGTGGCACTGTTTGCTAAGTGGTCTTTTTTTCTAGCTGCCTCTTTTGAAGAAACCTAGAGTCCGACTACCAAGGAGAGCCTTGTGAGCCCTTTTGCAAATAAACTTGCTAGAAATATGAAACACAATGAACAATTTGTCTTTTGGCAAAGTAATTTTCATATTCTAAGCAGTTACATTTGATTTCTCCGTGAATTTTCAGGGCTGGTAAATAATTGCAGGAAATTATTTTGAGAGAGGGTTTTGCTGTGTAGTTCGGGCTGGCCTTGAACTCACTGCGATGCTCCTCCTGCCTCAGCCTCCGGTGCTCCTCCTGCCTCAGCCTCCGGAGTGCTGGGGTTACAGACACCAGGCCCAGCTAACTGCAAGAATATTTAAATTCCCAGATGGTAATGTAGAAATGGGAAACTAAATCTTTTCAGCTATGCTTGTTCTCATTTGGAGTTTTAAGTAAGATTAGAAGAGTACACAACAATCCTTTTGCAATCTATTACCTAGTTTCTATTTCTACCCCTGATTATTTGCTTTCTTATTGAAGCCAACTAAAATACTTTGTTTTTAAAATACTAACTTTAAGTATGAAGTTGGTATTTATACTGGGTCAGATATACCACACGTGACTATGACTCTAGGAAACTGAAGGGAATAGTAAATGGCTTTTTCGGTTTTTTTTCATAGAGTCTTCAAAAGGTTTTAAGTTGCTGTAAATGATAAACGTTTGTAAATACTTCTTTGATCTGTTTCATGATGTTGAGTTTCTAATAAAATGTGGGTGGGTGTGAGAGTGTGTATATTAATTTTGGCTGTGCTAAGGGTTGAACCCAGGGCTTTGCTTATGCTGAGCAAACTGTACCATTGACAACACCCCAACCCCTCAGTAACACTTTATTTGGAAAAAAAAGGGGGGCGGTTTACTACCAAGCAGGGTTTGAAAATAACCAGAGTAGATGACCCTTGAGATTATGATTTCTAAGAGTTTTCTTTTTTGTGGTTTCTGATTCTTTTCAGACTGACCTTCAAAAACAGATCTTCAAACTTCTTTGACTGTGTACTTTAATCAATAAAAGAGGCACATTGCATGTTTTCTTGTCATTTTGAGACAGTGTTTTACTTTATGGCCCACTTTGGCCTTTAACTGGTAATGCTGCCTCAGCTGGAATTACAGGCGTGGCCACCACACCTAGCCACAGGGTGTGGGGTTTGTGAGGGGGTTGCTTTTTGAAATAGGGTCTCACTATGTAGTTCAGGCTGGACTTTCTCGTGATCCTCCTGCCTCTCCCTCCCCAGTGCTGGAATAACAGGCATGCACCACCATGCCCGGCTACATGTGTGTGATTCTTTTTTTGGGGGTTTTGGTTTTTTGAGACAGGGTCTCACTATGTAGTGGAGACTGACCTGGAACTCGCTATGTAGTTCAGGCTGGTCTGGGATTTACAGAGATCCTCCCTGCTTCAGCCTCCTGAGTGCTGAGATTACAGGTGTGCTCCACCACGCCCGTCGCATTCCATATTTTTTTTAAAAATGTTGATAAAATATTCATAGCACACAGGGTGTGATGGCCCACCCTGTCTCAAAAAAATCCATACCATAAAATTTACCATTTTAACAGATTTTAAGTGTACAGTTCATTCACACTCACAGTGTTGTGCAGCCGTCACCACCACCCCATCCATCTCCACAACCTTTTCATCATTCTGAGCGGTGACTGTGCACTCGTGCAACTCCCCATTTGCCCCTCCTCCCAGCCTCTGATAACCTCTTCTACCTTGTTTCTGAATTTGTCTTTAGGTATTTCCTGTAGGCATAATCCTACAATGCTTGTTTTTGTTTGTGTGTCTGGCTTATTTTACTTAGCATAATTTATTTTCAAGGTTCACATATATCTCTAGAATTTCATTCCTTTTAAGGGGAATAATATTCCATTCTATATATTTACCTGGCTGGAGTATTTTTAAATAGTTTCTACTTTTATGTCATATCATTTTGCTTGCAAAATGGTAATGCTGATTTTTTTGTTTGTTTTTTGAGATGAGCTCGCTGTGCAGTTCAAACTGGCCTTGAACTCACTATGTAGCCCAGGCTAGCCTTGAACCCACAGTGATCCTTCAGAGTTCTGGGGTCCCAGGCATGCACCACCAGGCCTGGCATGGTAGAGACTTTAAAAACCATTGTTCTTGGATTGGGGATTTAGCTCAATGGTTCCATTGCCTGTCTTGCAAGCTGAAGGACCTGAGTTCGATCCCCAGCACCAAAAAAAAAAAAAAATTGGTCTTTCACATTATATAGTATCTAATCCTTGTTAGTATTTCCAGTTTTTGTGCTTGGTTGGTTGGTTTATTTTTGCAGGATTGAGTTTAAACCCAGCTTTGTGCATGCTAGGCAAGCACTCAACCACAGAGCTATATATCCCCAGTCTTTTTTTTTTTAATTTTGAGACAGGGTCTCCCTGAATTGGCTAGGCAGATCTCCAACTTGTAATTCTGCCTCAGCTTCTCAAATTACTGGGATCTGTCTTCCCAGCATGTGCCACCATGCTAGGCATGAATTAGACTTGATTCCTTTTTCTTTCTTTCTTTTTTTTGAGACAGGGTCTCACTATGTAGTTGAGAGTGACGTGGAACTCATTGTGTAGTCCAGGCTGGTCTCAAGCTCACAGCTTCCGAGTGCTGGGATTCTAGACATGCGCCACCACGCCTGGCTTGTTTTTGTTTTGAGATGGTACAGGGTCTCACTGCATAGTTGAGGCTGGTGTTGAACTCACTGTGTAGCCCAGGCTGGCCTTGATCCTCCTGAATGCTTCTGGGTTATAAGCATGGGCCACCATGTATGAAAACTTCTAGGTAGTTTTTGTTTGCTTTTTTTTTTTTGGTACCGGGGATTGAACTCGGGTCCTTGCGCTTGCAAGGCAGGCAGTGGTACCACTGAGCTAAATCCCTGGCCCCTAGGTAGTTTTTGTTTATTTGTTTATTTTTGTTATTTTTTGATTGTTTCTTTTGTAGTGATGGAGATTGAACCTAGGGCCCTGCATGTGCCAGTCAAGTGCTTTACCCCAGCTACAACCTTTGCAGTTCTGATCTACAGCCCCCACTCCTAGACTTTCAGATTGTTTTGGAAAGAGTGCCTGTCTCGTTATTTTGAGTCTTTTTGTTAAAACATATGTATATGAACTGGATTTTTTAAATCTCAATTTTCTTTCTTTTTTTGCCTTTAGGCGTCTTGGTGCTGAATTGGGGAAATCGGTTGTATACCAAGAGACCAATGGAGGTAAGTTGTTTTTTGTTTTTGGGTTTTTTGGGTTTTTTTTTTTTAAATATAAAAGAAGGCAGTTTCTTCAAAGGTGGGGTGGTCGAGGGATGAGCGAGGCAGACAGCAACTCTGGATTCGAAAGTGAAATACTCAGTAAGTTTTTTTAAAAATCCTTTCTTCCGACGCTGTTTAATCAGCTGGCATGTTTTTATATAAGGCAGATAGTAAAGATGAATATGGTGGTACAAGCCTGTAATCCTAGCACTCTGACAGGCTTTTAGGAAAAAGGATCACAAATTCAAGTCCCACCTGGACAATTTAGTGACTTAGCAAGACCTTGAATCCGGATATGGAAATAAAGAGGGGTAGCCGGGGATTTAGCTCAGTGGTTCTACCGCTTACCTTGCAAGTGCAAGGTCCTGAGTTTGATCCCCAGTACAAAAAAAAAAAAAAAAAAAAAAAAAGAAAGAAAGAAAGAAAAGGAATAAAGAGGGGTGGGGGGAAAAAGGAAACAAAAAGAGGTGGCTCATGTTTAACACACAGACTTTTTTCCCCTGTTTTGTTTTATGAGACAGGTTCTCAACTATATAGTTCAGACAGAAATATTTTGTTTGACATTGCAGGTGTGCATATTTGTTTTCTACTTCCCCAAATCCTGACTTACTACACTCTTGTGATATCACCTTTCTTTTCCACAATGATGAAAAAATCCTGTTAGAATGAGAAAGGATATATATGTATGTATATGTTATGCATGGAAAGATGTACGTGTGTGTGTGTGTGTGTGTGTGTGTGTTTGTGTAATTCTGCTGCATTGGTTTATATTTGATAAATACTTCCTACCTTTCTTTGTCTTACAAGGTCGTCAAATGACATCGAGCAATCTGACACTTATTAAAATGACCTTTTTTTTTTGTGATATCAGTATTGAACTCCAGACCTTGCGCTTGCAAGGCAGGCACACGTGCCACTGAGGTAAATCCCAATCTCTTAAAATGACCTCTTTAAGCGAGGTGCGATGGCACACACCTGTAATCCAAGTACAAACAGGCTGAGGCAAGAGGATTACCAGTTTGAGCCCAGCCTGGGCAATTTAGCAATTTAGCAAGACTCTGTCTCCAAAAAAAAATTTTTTTTTTTTTTTTGTACTGGGGATCGAACTCAGGGCCTTGTGCTTTCAAGTCAGGGGGCAGAACCACTGAGCTAAATCCCCAGTCAAAAAAATTTTGGGTTCAGTTCCCCATATACACCTACGAAAAAGTCTGGGAAGGTGGCTCAGTGATAGAGCACCCCCAAGAGAAGACTTAGTTATATTTATTTATTTTTGTGGTAACAGCGATCAAACTTGGGACCTTATGTTTGTGAGGCAGGCAGCAGAACCACTGAGCCAAATCCCCGGCCCTGACTTCTTTAACTTCTCCATCTTTGACTTTTTTTTTCTCATGGACTCTCATATTCGCTGAGTTGCTAACCCATTTTGCTGCCCTCTGGATGGTGTGAAGAGCTTAGTGTGAAGAACTAAGATACTTGCTGTATTTTAAACTCCTACTGGACCACGTGCTTCAGATTATACTGTTCCTACTCATTGCAAAGTCAGAACGATTGGTATAGAATCATTTTGAATTATTTTTGCAAAGTTGGAAGCCTAGGTACCTGATTCTGTGCGTCCCTTTTCCTTTCCAAGATGTAACTGTCTATATGGAGTTTGCAGAGATTAATTATTAAGGCTTAGTGATCTGTGGGGTCTAAAAAAGCAAAGCTCAAGCGAAGGAAAAGGCAGTTTACAGGGTAATTGAATGGGAAGCACACATTCCCAGATACGTACAAGTCACGTGTGTTAATTAACCACAAGTCCCTTCATCCAGCTCCCACACTTAGCAGCTTTTTACTTGATGATTTGAAAACTTTAGCTGGACACACGCCTGTAATCCCAGCCCTCGGGAGGCTGGGGCAGGCACATTTCGAGTTTGAGGTCAGCCTAGGCTGCATAGTGAATTCAGGGCTAGCCTGAACTACATAGTGTCTTATTTTGTGTCAAAACAAAGCAAAAACTTTACTGCCTGAGTAAAACAGGAGATTTTAGTGTCTGAAATCTGAAGTTGAATAAAGATAGACGAAGTTCTTTCTCTAGCAATTGCCAGTTTAATTCCTGGTGATGTGTTTGGGCATCTCCTGAGAGGAAGCACTTGGGGAGGAGCAGACAGGGAATGAAGTTCCCTTTCCCTGCCTTTTAGTCACTGTGTAAGCCTTGTGATCTCTCTCTGGAGGCATAGCTTCCAACAGGCCTTCCTGCCTCCGCTGCTAGCTGCTCTAAATCCACCCCACTCACCTCCACCAGAAGATTTCTTTTCTTTTTTGGAAGTGGTGGAGGGTGGACTCTGGGCCTTCGCACTGAGCTGCATCACCAGTCCTTTGTCATTTTTTTAAACTGTGAGACAGTGTTGCTAAGATGCTCAGGCTGGACTGAAACTTGTGATCCTCCTGCTTCGCCCTGGGATTATAGGTGCGTGCCACGACAGCCAACTTCCACCGGAAGATTTATAAAGTGCAACTCTTTTTGACTTGTTCGTCCTTCCTTACTACAGACTGAGTATCCTTTTTCTGAAATGCTTGGTACTAAAAGTTCTAGCTTTTGGAGTTTTTTTAGAGTTTGAAATATCTGCACAGACTACTTTATTAAACATATTACTGTTTGCCTTGTGTTGTACATTTTACCAAGTATATTGTTCATGTCTTTAGTTTGGTGGTGGTGTTAGCTACTTGAAGCATCGTGAAGCACTCCCCCCCCCACTGGGGATTGAACTCACTTGTGAGGCAGGCGCAGCACCACTAAGCTAAATCCCCAGCCCAAAAGTGCTTTTCTTAAAACTTTAGAACATTTTTTGTTTTTCAGAAACAAGAGTTGAAATAAAAGAATCTGTTCGTGGCCAGGATATTTTCATTATACAAACAATACCCAGGTAAGAATTAGCACTGTTTAATGTACTCCCTTTCTTCTAAAAAACTTCATGATATAATTAATCTTTTCACGTGGACTGTTCAAGGTTATTTTGTTTTGTTTGTTTGTTTGTTTGTTTTGGTAACAGGGATCATCTCCAGACCTTGAGCTTGGCAAGCAGGTGTCAGAACCACTGAGCTCTGAGCTAAATCCCCAGCCCTCAAGGTTTTTTAAATTATAAATTTGTGTCTGTGTTAAATTGCTTTACAGGGTACAGTCCTGGTTTCTAGAATTCTATCTTGTTTATAATGTTGTACTGTTACTGGTTTACGTGACCATCTTTGCAGGCTTTAAGGGCCGCTGGGGCAAAATATCTTACCTTCTGCATCTGCTGAACCAAAGCTGGCACCTGCCAGCTCAGTTCTGCTGAAAAGCTTGTTAGTGTTACGCGCGTACCGCCTAACTGCTCCTGGTTCACACCCATCAAAGACAGTTGTTTGGGGTTTTTTTTTTTTGTGTGTGTGTGTGGTACTGGCATTGAACTCAGGGCCTTCCCACTGAGTTACATCCCTAGTTCTTTTTTTTTTTGGTTTTTATTTTGTGGCAGGATCTTACTACATCACTGAGTTGCCTAGGCTGGGTTTAAACTAGTGCTTTTTGTGCCTCAGCCTCCCAGAGTGCTGGGATCACAGGTATGTGCCACCACGCCTGTTCTGCCCCTTGTCATAGCAGCGTTTAGAGCAGAAGGAGCTAATTCAGCACGGCAGCTGTTTATTCTTCAGTCTGCAGTCTGCAACAGTTCTTAGCTTTCCTTTATTTTGTTTTGTTTTGTTTTTGTTTTTGTTTTTTTTTGAGACAGGGTCTCACTTTGTAGTTGAGACTGACCTGGAACTCACTGTGTAGCCCAGGCTGGTCTCAAACTCACAGCGATCCTCCTGCCTCTGCCTCCCAAGTGCTGGGATTACAGGCATGCACCACCACACCTGGTGGCACAGCTTTCCTTTACTTTAAAAGCGTTGACACTTTTGAAGGCTACTTTTTTTTTTTTTTGGTTTTTTTGAGACAGGGTCTCCCTAAGTAGTTGAGACTGACCTGGAACTCACTATGTAGCCCAGGTTGCTGTTCTCGAACTCACTGTGATCCTCCTGCCTCAGCCTCCCGAGTGCTGGGATTACAGGCGTGGGCTGCTTTTTGAAGACTAACATTTTGTTACTTTGTCAAAATCTCTTAACCTGGATTTGTCAGATATTTCTGGATGAGATTCAGATTGTAGGTCTTTGGAAGGGGTGCTGCTGGAGTGAGGCTGTGTTCTTGGCTTTTTTCTTTTTCCTTTTTGAGACAGAGTCCTGCTGTGTAGTTCGGGCTGGCCTTGAACTCGCAGCAGTTCTCTGCCCCCGCTGCCTTGGGGTTATCGGCATGGGCCACCATGCCCAGGTCTCCTCATCATCTGTTCCTTGCTGCTGTCTGAGGCATTGCAGAGATGTTCCCTGATTGATTTCCAGACTTGTGCTATCACAGTGGTGCTGCAGGGAACACCCTTGAATGTGTGATATATTGCCCGTGTTTCTGGTGTTTCCGCAGGAAGTTTCCAATAACTGGAATTACTGGGCCTGAGGTTTCGTGTGTTGTAGTGTTGACAGATACAAGTGCACTTGCAATATGTATAGTATTGATAAGCATATCTGTTACATTTCCTCCTGAAAATTTAGCTTTGTATTATTTGCCTCCTGCAGTGACGAGTGTTTCTGCTCAGTGGTTTTGAACATGCACCTTAGAAATACAAGGGCCCGAGGGGCTTGCATATGAATCCAAAGGAAAGTGGATTCTGTGGTGCTTTTGTTTTTCCTCTTTCATAGCATTGACTTTAGGACCTTGAATTTGGGGAGCACTTGGCACTGCTGTTGCACATTTCTAGATCTGACAGACCCAGCTTAACAAAGTTGTTTACTGCACACACAGTGATTTGTACTATTTACTGCTTATGATTGGGCTATATTGATATTACACACTCTCTTTTGGAGGAAGTATCTTATTGAGTATGTATTTTATGTGGGTATTGATAGATAGCTATAGATGTAGATACAGATATAGGTGCAAATTTTTTTTCCTCTCTGCCTTTTTTTTTTTTTTTTTTTGACAAGGTCTTGCTGTGTGGTACAGGTTTGCCTTGAACTCATAGCAATCCTCCTGCCTCAGCCTCCTGAGTGCTGGGATTACAGGTGTGTGCCACCATGCCTGGCCTCTTTACATTTTTATTTGGGATACATAAATCTGGAAATGGGAATGGAGGATAAAGGTGGGAAATCCTTCACCAGCAGGCAGGGCATGAGACCTTTTGTTTGTCACCAGTTATACAGTGTTGAATCTGTCTATTCTAGCTCCCTTGCAAAACTGCCACTTCCCACTGGACATCAGCTCTTTCTAAACTACTTTTGACAAAATTAGTAACATCCTGCCCACAAATGTTATCCTTTACACATATTTGCCTAATTCGCGTGGCTGGCTCTCTCAGTTCATTCAGGTCCCATCTCAAGTGGCCACTATCTAGGAGAGGGCTTTGTTGCCCATTCTTAGAAAATAGACTGGTCCTTTTCTAATTGCTCCATGACCCTTTGTGTTTAACCTGGCTTTTGTCAGTAACAAATTGTAAGGTTGTATTTTTACCACTTTTTTCTCCCTGTATGCCTGAGTTCCTTAAATCTAGAAAAGACCTGCATGTGACCCTAGGCCCTTGGCTTGGCCACATTGGTCTACTGAGAACCTCTTTTGGGGGAGGGGTGTGTTTGTTTGTTTGTTTGTTTGTTTGAAGCTGAGTCTCACTATGTAGCCGGGGCTGGCCTCACCGCAATCTGCCTCAGCCTCCTGAGGGCTGGGATTAACAGGTGTGCACCTCCAGGCCTAGCTAAGAACCCTTTCTTAAAGGGTAGAATACAGAAACTCAACCTTTCAGCCACAGATGTGGACCAGCTTTGCCATTAATACTCCATGAAACAGGGTTGTCTAAGTCCAAGGGCAGAATTGGTTGGCAGAGACTCTTCCTACCCTACCTGACTTCATGTTAGCAAAGGATGTAGGTCATGGGGAGAATTGCTTAGGAAATCTCCGTGGCCCTGCTCATTGACTGCGTCTTGAACTGGGATTTGATCCTTGACTTTCAGCTGTTCTCCGGGAAAAGCCAGGGAGCCAGCGCCGGGGTCAGTTCTCCTAGTGCTGGCGTGTGAGCAGCTGTGTTCTGGGGCCCTTTGTTCTGTTGCTTGTATTTAGCAAACATCCCTGAGCCAGAGGCCCTGCTTTGTTAGTCTGCCGTTTGGATGACACTAATGACTGAGGAGTGTATGAGCTCCCTCCCCTGCGGTTTGTAGACCAGTCAAGTACAGCTTTTGGAGAGCAAGGACGTTGATAAGATAAGGTTGCCTTCAGAGCCCTCATTCTGAGCCCTCATTCCTTCTGTTCTCCTCATTCATTCCTTTTGGTGCTGCTGTTGTTCAAATAGCTGTAGAACTCCTAAAATCACTTTCAGCATTTGCAGCGTAATTCTTTTGACCAATAATAGTAAGTTTTTGGTTGTTGAGGATGGATTTAAGTTTTGGAACTGGCGAGCCATTTTGAATGAAGGGGTAATGCTGGTATGGTAGGTACTAAAGAAAATTCCAAATCTACTGAGCAGTGGAACTAAGTACAATAAAGATGAACTGACAAAGTATTTTCTTGAAGGACAGTTTTCATGTTTATGTACAATTAGTAGCATGTTGATGTAAAGAAGACATTAAAATACCATTTACAGTCTATTTGCTGCAGACAGTCCTACCCCATTCCCAGGTTCCCATTACTTCCATCTGTGCTATTTTTTGCAATCTGGAGCAGTTTAATTAATGTGTACATTGTGTCTCTTTCCTCAATACATATGAGTTTGTGCCTATCCAAAATGATAGAGCAGTCAGAGCTTTTTTATATAAGGTTGTGATTATTCTAGGGTAAAAAAAAAGAAAACTGTTGGTAAAATAGTTAAGATTGTCCTACTGAGATACAAAGACTACAAGAACTGGCCTGGATGTGCATGAAACATTCTTAGAGAACAGATAAAGCAGAAGTTTCCAGCCAATTTCTTCTCACCCTGCTACCCCGGAGTAACTGTTTGTGTCCAATGTGGCCACTATCTCTCAGTAAATGGATAAAGCCAGTTGTGACAGAGGCCCCTTGATCACATTCCTGACCGATAGGGAGTAGGGGCTGAGGAGGGTTTCCTTGACCTTGCACTGGAGACTATCATCAAGCATGGGTCAGCAGGAAGAGAAAAAATGAGAAAATAATCCCTCATGAGAGAAATTGGAATTAGTGAAAGGAAAACCTGAAATCAGTCCCCTCAAAAATTATTTGTCTTGTTATGTTACTGCCTTACTCTTGGACCTGCTTTGTGGTGGGCTCTGCACTCAGGACATTGGGCAGTTGTGTATTATAAATGCCATGACAATACTAGTTGAAAACCTGCTGATTATTTGGGTAGCTGCTCGTGCAGAATTTTCTAAGTTAACTTCAACTTGAGTTGTGTGGTTGACACTGAGGTCTGGTTTAAGAGGCCACATCCAGTGTAGCTGTGTAGGACCACACAGCATCACACAAGTAGAAGCTTAAGACAGGAGGACCACAAGATCAAGCCAAAGTTGACAAGCGGCCTACCAGTGGAAGGGGACTTTGGCTGTAGTATATTTGATGTCTGGTGTTGATTGTAGGTGTGGACACTGGGGACTTTATATGTATTTTATATATTTTTATTTATACTTATTTATGTACATTTTATTTATATTCATACCATCTTCTGCATGTTATGTAGACTTCCAGCTTAACATTCAGGAGCTTACAAGTCATTGATTTGGATCATCTCACTTTTAAAAATCTTTTCTATGGAATAAAGAATAAGTTTGGGGAGGAACATTCCTTCTGAATTAAGTGTGCTCCTTGGTGCACAAGAGCGATTCACCTGTTCCCTGGTGTGATTCTATGCTGCATGTCTGTTCTCTAGAGCGATAGTCATTTATCTCTGTCTGCATTCTCTCCCACCTGATTGTGTGTCACCACCCTGTGGGAGATTAGATTTGATAGATAGGGCATGAGCCCCCTGAGGCCCCAGAACTGCCTTTTTGGTTGTAACTAAAGGCTGACAGATACTGTCACTTTAAGGTGGGTAACGCTGAAAACGAGTACCAGTTATCATTAAGCACAGTCGGTTTAGGGGCTGGTTCGAAGGTTGAATTTCACATTGTTAAAGCAGAGGCAATGAATTACGAAGGGAATTCAACTGAAGAAACACTGTACAGCCAATGGTTTCCCTTGGGGGCTTTGAAGTTACACTACCTGTGATCTTAAGGTTGGAGTGTGTATCTACTGTGTATATTAGTGGACAGCACTTAGTATCTGTGGAGGAAGATTCAGAGTTAGAAGAGGAAGAGGATGAAAAACTCTTCAGTGTATCTGGAAAGTGATCTGCCTCCAGAAGTGACAGCTAGGTTCCAGAGGGGGAAAAAGTAAAATTAGCTGCTGAAGATGATGTCAATGAAGGAGAAGACTTGATAATGAAAAAACTGAAGAGAGAGCTCCGGTGAAGATACATACAAGATACTTCAGCCAAAAGTGCACAAAAATCAAACCAGAATAGAAAAGATTCAAAAGCAACACCAAGATCAAAACGCCTTCAAAAAACAGGAAAAAAGTCCTAAAACACCCAAAGGACCTAGTTTTTGTAAAAGACATTAAAGAAAAAAGCAAGCAAGTATAGAAAAAGATGGTTGTCTTCTCAAAGTGGAAGCCAGGTTCGTCAGGATCTTGGCAATGGAGGAAGTCTCTTTAAGGAAACAGTTTAAATTTTTACTTTTTTTTTTTTTTTTTTTTTTTTTTTTTTTTTTTTTT